AATTTTATGATAGAAAATAGGGTGAGAGATCCTTACTTGATTTGGAGTCTAAAACTGGTTTTTCACTGCGCCTACAGGCAGTCCCTAAATTTCCTGAATTTCTCCCTGGGAACTGAAATACACTTCCGGTGCCTACACATGTCCCCAAATAACTCAAAATCAGACCCATGGCCTATTCGACCAATTTTAGAATTCTGGCACGGCAGCTCCGCCGTGCTCCGGCGACAGGGCCGTCGCCCGTGGCAGCGATCCACCTCGGGTTGGTTATTTTCGGTCGTTTTCGGCCGAATTCAGGCAAATTAGCACCAGTTCCTGTGATAAAACATACGTGAGGCCCTCGGTGGGCCGAAAAAATATAAAAAATCGAGACTTACCGGTGGCGGAGCTCTCTGGTGCGGCGGCTCCTCCGGCGCGAGTCGTGATTTGGTATTTTGCTCTGGTCAACCTGTAGAGGAAGGAACGGTGGTCACAATGGTGAAAAAATTACATTGAACGAGAATCGAGAAGGGCCTCATCGGAGACAAAAATTGAGGAAACCCGCGGCAGCGCCGTTGGGCTTCGGCAGCATTTTTTGGCCAATTGACCGGTGGTTTGGCTCCGATTTGGCTACAGATGGGTTTAGAATCGAAATCCGAGCCAAAGGAAAAATTTTTACCTCTTTTGGCGGCCGAAAAGTGCTCCGGTGCGGCGGCGGGTGGCGGTGGTCGGTTCCCCCGATGGCTGGGCGGTCTTCTCCAGCAAGGGCTCTAGCGGTTAACCTTTCGCTTTTAATCTGAGTCGTCCATTGCGATTTAATCTATACCGTCCGATCGCGATTAAATTAAAAATGAATCTGGGTCGTCCATCGCGATGCGATCTAGGCCGTCCGCACGCGCTTTTGATCTGAGCCGTCCGTGCGCGCGGAGACGGATCTCAGCCGTCCGATCGCGCGCACGCGGATCACCCACGTGGCTCCGTTCCGCGTGGCCTCCCGCGTCAGTGTCTCTGTCACATGGCGTGTCCTAGTTGGCCGGGGCTGCTGACGTGGTGTAATTTTTTTAAATTGTATTTTGACCCTCGATTTTTTATTTTCTTTTCAAAAACACCGCCAGAATCCGAATTTTCACTCATTTTTTCAAAATTATTTTTAATTAAGTCCCAAAAATAATTTTACCCCTTTTTATCATTATTATTATTTTTATTTCTATTTAATTAAATTAAACTAAATTAAAACCATATATTATTATATAAATAATCATTTAATTCATATAAAATTTATAAAAAAATTAAAATAAAACAAAATAATATTCATAAAAAAAATAATAATAAATTTGGGGTGTTAGATCACATGTTGACCAAGATGTTAGGTTTATATAATATAATTAATTAGTTTATTTACGTATGAACCCTAATTATAGTGTTACCAATTCAAATATGCTTATTTCATAGTTAGATATCTTACCAAATTTGTCTAAATAAATAATTAAATATTAGCATGAAAAGTTATCCCATGAATTCTCGTAATGGTACAAAATAAAATTAATTGAAATTATTCATCAAGAGAATATATATATAAGTAAAGAGCATTAAAAATATTAACTTGTTGAGGATGTCTACTTAGTGCGAAGGAAATTTGTTGAGATTGAAGTCACCAGAAAAGTGACAATTCCTAAGCCAAAGCCTTTTAGTGGCACAACAAGTGTCAAAAGCCTCAACGATTTTCTATAAGACAT